TATGCTATCATTAATGTTCTCCATCCTTTATGGAAAATAAAGTGAAAAGCACTCTGCATGACAAATATGATCATTACATGTAATATACCAATGAATCGATTGTTACAGGCTACGTACCAAGAATATCTCTTTTCTTTGAACTGGATGTTAAGGGAAGCATAGATCTCTGTGCAGATCAAAACTCTTTTTCCTAATTTAGTTAATCCTCTATGGCGGAAAATAAATAGACAATCTATATTGATGATTTAGGTTGGGCTTGTCCAAAAGGCTAGCTGCAAAAGTGCCCTGTGTGGCCCCTGAGCCTTTGTTCAATATACAAGTGAGTGGAACTGGAAGATTTTGAAAGGAAATGTTCCTCTAATCAGAGGCTGGTTCCCTCCTCCATTTACTTCTGATATGTTCAATAATAAGCAAATGTGGGAGAGAATTAGTGTGATTAGAGGAGCAGCAAGCAGCACAATTTGAATGATTTAACTCAGCCCAAGGTCAGCGCAGGGAGGATCAGTGATAATTGCTCAATTTTCAACACCATTTGTGACTTCTCAGACACCGAAGCTGTCTGTGACCTTATGCAGGAAGACCTGGAAAATATCCAACCTTGGATTGACAACAACCAAGTAACATTTGTGCCGTACAAGTGTCAGACAATGTCCATCTCTGACAAGAAAAAATACTCTTATACAATAATAATAATCTAATATAATGAAAGAGTAATCCCAGTGATGTTCATTATTACCACTACTGAACTCCCACTATCAATATCCTAGGGATTACCAATGACCAGAAACTGATCTGGATGGTATAAGTATGATGGCTACAGAAACTCAGAGACTTGGAATTCTGTGGTGAGTACCTCACCTTCTAGCTCCCCAAGGCCTGTTTACCATTAACAAGGTACAATTAAGGAGTGTGATAGTGTACTTTCTATTTGCCTGGAATGTTGTGGCTCTAACAATATTCAAGAGGCTCGACACCATCCATGGTAAAGCAGCCTGCTTGACTGTCACTTCCAACCACCACCATCAACATTCGCACCCCTCTCCACCAACATCCAGTCACAGCAATGTGTACAAGATACACTGCAGCTACTCACCAAAACTCATCTTTCAGCACCTTCCAAGCTTGCAACTTCTACCACAATCACAAGGACAGTACATGCAATGAGAACACCACTGCCTGCTAGATTCCCCCGGTGCACACCTTACTGAATTGTAACTAAAATGCTGCTCCTTCAGTGTCACTCGGTCAAAATCCTGGAACTTCCTCTCTAACTGCATTGTGAGTGCACATATACCAAAGGACTGTATCATTTCAAGAAGGCAGCTCACCGCTACCTTCTCAACAGCAATTAGGAATTAGTAATAAATGCTTGTCCAGCCATCAATGTCTGCATCCTACAAATGACTAAGAAAAGGTAATTTCTCAAGGGTATGAATACTGGTTCATTAACCTCTGGAGTACTTCCAGTTAAAAAGAAGCTATAGTAACAGGTCAGTATGATTCATTGCTAGAAACTACATTTATTTACACACACACTCACAATCCTGTTCTTTATTGTCAAAAGGAATTTGTTCACATAGCTTTCAGTCTGTCCTTTATCACTGTGTTGAATCGCTCAAGGCCTATTGTGATGACAGATGATGAATTCCATAAGCTGCTTAAAACTGACTAGAATCAAACTGGTGCATTCTCTGAAATGATAATCTCTGGTTGTCAATTTTGGTGAGTTTCATATAGTGTTTCTGTCCATGAGGCCTAGTGGGTCCTCGCACACAATCTCCCACACCCACCTCATTACCTATGTGTGATGCCCCTATGGCACCCAGTTGCGTATTCTTCCGCTCACCATAGATGAAGTGCCAATGCTGCCCAGATATCCTGGGATCCCTAGCACTGGCACAGTATTTAAAAGGCCATTGTGCACCTGGTCAAGTGCTAGCAGTCCAGAGCCACCCTGTACGGTTCATGTTATTTGTTCCAAACATGTCTGACAAGAGAAAATTAGCAGACAGAGACCTGGAGATCCTTGTTGAGAGGTTGGTGCAGAGAGGACTGTCTTCTCCATCAGGATTGGCAGAGGAGATACCAGACTCTACCAGCCTAGTCTAATGTTGCCACTAGGATCAGTATTGTGTCCACAGTCCGGAGAAAGACTCAGCAGTGCAGGAAGAAGTTCAACAACCTTCTTTACTCTGCCAGGGTGAATACCATCATCTTCCCTCTGTTCCCAAGGCTTAGGGTCTACAACTCTCATTTCATGCAACATCTTCCCTCTCTTGCTCTTCCCATTCCAAACCCTCACATCATTGGCCTGGCAGGCCCTCAGCACTGTCTACTCAGTCACTTAGGACACTTAACCACACTTCTATCACATGCAACAGCAATACTTGCCATGCCAGATACTTTCATCTTCACCCAATTCCTCCCATTGTCTCATTTCAGGAGAAAACACCTGAAATAGGGAAGAGAGATCCAAGATGGAGGCTGGGGTGCCTGACATTTGGCTCTTCATCCCAATGTGGAAAGGATTCTGGCCCTGACCAATAGGGACTGAGAGCACACAGGGAGGATAATGAAACATCTATGTCCTGGCAACCAAGTAAGAAGTATTGTCTATTGCTGTAGTATTCTCCCATTGGTGCCAATATGAATGTATTGTTAACAGCCCCAACCTTCTATGCCTTATATGTGTTGCATTCTCTCTTTTGTATCCTGCAGGTATGAGTAGCATCTGCACAGTCTTGTCAGCCAAGATGTCAGCCCCAAAAGGGTCTTCTCCTCCACTGCTGGGAAAGAAGCCACAGTTCCATCAGAGCATGGACCGGCGAGGCTCCTCCTTGTCCCCTGCACCCACTGCGATACTGGGTGGCAATGTGAGCTAGGTTAGAGTCCAGAGCATATGCTGATGAGAACTTCACTGCCACATCTCCACAGCTGTTTGTGGAAAATAGCCCCAGGTAACTGGCACCTGGAGGACTGCTGGAGGCCAGACACCCTGGAGCTTGATGGTATCAGCAATTAAAACCATCATAGAATTGCACAAGCTAACACTTGACCAACATGCAGGTTTGTTAGAGGTACTGGACAAAGTTTAAGGAATGGCCCAATGCTGTTGCCTCAGGTATACAATCATCTGGCAGCCCCGATAGACAGGTCAGCGACTGTGATAGAGAGTCAGATTCCCCAGTCTCAGAGTCTGCATGGGACCTGCAATACAACGCTCTAGTCATCAGTGCTTAGCAATACCAGTAGGCACCCAGATGGAGGAGAAACCACATATGTGTGTTCCAGAAGTCTCCTTGCCTGACATTCCAGAGGGGGCTGAGCCTTCGTTCTCCACCCTGCCTACTCTCAGACCCGGGGGACTTCAAGCTGAGGATGGTGCACCTGCCTTTGAGCAGGACCCTCAAGACACAAATGCACCCTGGGTGGCTCAACTAAAACTTCAAGGCCAGCGGGCTCCACTGTAGGGCAGACTTCCTCTACATCACTTACAGATGCTGGGATTGCACTGAAAAGTAACAGGAGGAAAAGGGCAAAGAAGTCCTTATGAGGGCAATTCATCATAAAATATATTCCTCCATTTGGAAATATATCTTCACTATTCATCATGTATTGTGTGAGCAAATGTCTGTCAAGTAGCAACTACAACACTGAAGTTGCAGAGTGTAGCCATCCTTTGTGCAACACAAGATCGTATGGAACAAAAACAGAAGTTGCTGGAAAAGCTCAGCAGCATCTGCAAAGAAAAAAAGATAGTGGAAAAGATAGTGGAGGCATTAGTGGCGATCTTTCAGGAATCACTAGAGTCAGTGAGGGTCCCAGAGGACTGGAAAATTGCCAACGTGACACAACTGTTAAATCAAGGAGTAAGACAAAATTCTGAAAATTATAGGCCAATTTGCCTAAACTTGGTTGTGCGTAATTGTGAAGGATGAAATTTCTGAATATTTGGAAGTGAATGGTAAAATAGGGCAAAGTCAGCATGGTTTCATCAAGGGGAGGTCATGCCTGAAAAATCTGTTAGAATTCTTTGAGGAAGTAATGAGCAGGTTAGACCAAGGAGAGCCAATAGATGTTATCTACCTGGACTTCAGGATGGCCTTTGACAAGGTGCCGCACAGGATGCTGCTGAGTAAGATAAGGGCCCATGGTGTTAGAGGCAAGGTGCTAGCATGGGTAGAAGATTGGCTGTCTGGCAGAAAGCAGAGAGTGGGGATAAAAGGGTCTTTCTCAGGATGGCAGCTGGTGACAAGTGGTATTCCACAAGGGTCAGTGCTGGGACCACAACTTTTCACTTTATACATTAATGATCTAGATGAAGGAACTGAGGGTGTTCAGGCTAAGTTTGCAGACAATACAAAGATAGGTAGAGGGACAGATAGTATTGTGGATGCGGGGAAGCTTCAGAAGGATTTGGACAGGTTAGGAAAGTGGGCAAAGAAGTGGCAGATGGATTACAACATGGGAAAGTGTGGGGTCATGCACTTTAATAAGAAGAATAAAAGCGTGAACTATTTTCTAAATGGGGAGAAAATTCAGAAATCTGAAGTACAAAGAGATCTGTGAGTTCTAGTGCAGGATTCTCTCAAGTTAAACTTGCAGGTTGAGTCAGTAGATAGGAAAGCAAATGCAACTCTGCCATTTATTTTGAGAGGACTTGAATATAAAAGCAGGGATGTACTTCTGGGACTCTATTAGGCTTTGGTCAGGCCACATTCGGAGTATTGTGTGCAGTTTTGGGCCCCATATCTCAGGAAGGATATACTGGCCCTGGAGCGGGTTCAGAGGAGGTTCTCGAGAATGGTCCCAGGAATGAAAAGCTTAACATATGAGGAACGTTTGAGAACTCTGGGTCTATACTTGATGGAGTTTGGAAGGATGAGGGAGGATCTAATTGAAACTTACAGTATACTGAATGACCTGGACAGAGTGGATTTTGGGAAGATGTTTTCATTGGTAGGAGAGACTAGGACCCAAGGGCATAGCCTTAGAGTAAAGGGAAGACCTTTTAGAACAGAGATAAGGAGAAACTTCTTCAGCAAGAGAATGGTTAATCTATGGAATTCACTGCCACACAAGGCTATGGAGGCCATGTCATTGCTTGTATTTAAGACAGAGATAGATAGGTTCTTGATTGTCAAGGGGATCAAGGGTTATGGGGAGAATGCGGGAGAATGGTGTTGAGAATGGCAGAGCAGACTCAATGTGCTGAATGGCCTAATTTCTGCTCCTATGTCTTATGGTCTTATGGGAGAGAGTTTGAGGATTTTGATCCAGTGACACTGAAAGAACAGCAAAATATTTCCAAGTCAGAATGATGAATGGGTCGGAAGGGATCTTGCAAGTCGAGGTGTTCACATGTATCTGCTGCCCTTGTCCTTCTACATGATGGTGGCCATTGGTTTGGAAGGTGCTATTTAAGGAGCATTGCTGAATTTCTACACTGCATCACACTCCTGATCATATGCCTTGTCGACGGTGGACGGGCTTTGGGAAATGAAGAGGTGAGTTACTTGCAGCAGGGTTCCTAGCCTCTGACTTGCTCTTGTAGCCACGGTATTTCTATGGCTAAAATAAAACAAAGAACTGCAGATGCTGGCAATCTGAAACAAAAATAGAAATTACTGGAAAAACTTAGCAGGTCTGGCAGCATCTGTGGAGAGAAAACAGAGTTAATGTTTCAAGTTCAGTGACCATTCTTCAGAACAGAAGATCCTGAAGAAGGGTCACTGGATTCGTAACTTTAATTCTGTTTTCTCTCCATAGATGCTGCCAGACCTGCTGAATTTGTCCAGCAATTTCTGTTTCTGATATATATGGCTAATCTCGTTCAATTTCTCATCAATGGTAACCCCCAGTTTGTTGACAAAATGTTATTCTTCCTTGTTTTAAGCTATAGAACTATAAAAAGTATGTACTACAAGTATCTGCAATATTTTTATTTCTGAAATTTACACATAATCCATAACTCCCAAAACTTTTCTGATGAAGGGTCTAGGCCCGAAACGTCAGCCTCTCTGCTCCTATGATGCTGCTTGGCCTGCTGTGTTCATCCAGCCCTGCACCTTGTTGTCTCGGATTCTCCAGCATCTGCAGTTCCTACTATCTCTCACTCCCAAAACTTGCTCACTTCTGTGAAATTATGAAGGAAATGGGATTCAGTGCAAAAAAGGTAAAATAGCTTTCCATGTTTTGAACAATACAATGACTTACTGTTTTCAATAATCAACTACCACTAGAAACCACTGAAACAGTCAGAATTTGATCCAATTTTTTAAATCCAGTAATTCCACACCACTCCAAAGTAAAGGCGCATTTGTCATTCTAACCGCTGAGTAGTTTGCATCTACTACAATAATCCTGGTAGGTTTATGTTACAAATACAACCTTAAATTACAAATCTTGACAAAAGCGCAAATTAATTAAACAAGTACCCCTGAATTCTGAAGTAAGACAATTTGAAATAAATATTTGGGACAAAATTCAGATGTATTGGTTTTTTGGATGCTTATTGGCCTTAGAGATCTGTAACAGGGAACATACAACGCAATGCAATGAGGTGAGGGTGTTAAGAAAGGACTGGAATCATCTGCCAGAAAAATGTAGGGTAGGCAGATCATGGAGTCAATCAGTGTTAAAACTGATTTGGCACCAATGCTGATATTAAGAAGCTGAACTTTGTCTAACATCCTTGTTTCTCCCTCTGATGTGCTAAATTGTCAGCAGCTGGAAAGACACTGTCTCCACCAGCTCTATTTAAAGGGATCATCAAGCACTCTCAGGTTAGTTGCTGATTGATTTCTGCTGACTGTTCTTATAATTGTATAAGTGTTTGGTGCTTTCCAAAGATCTTTAAAATGACTAATGCTAACAGGGAGTGGTGTAATGGGTGCTGAAAGATTTGGAGCTGACTACTACTTTCTGTACAAACCAGATTGGTCCCAGACCTTCCACATGGAATGATGCATGATTGGGAGAATCTGTAGGGGTGGGAAAGAGCAGGGGAAGGTGTTGAAGAGGTGGAAGACGGTGAAGAAGGACTTTCAATAGGAGGCCATATCCACATGGGACATTCAGAGAGGAATTTCAGCGAGCAATAGTGTAGGGGATGTTTGTGCTTCTGTAAGGAGCTTCTCACTACAATCTGCCAGCTGTTTCATCCACCACTGCAGCCAAAGCAGGGAGGGAATATTAGTGCCAAGGGAACCAAAGCGATGAGCTGTAAATAGCCTGGATCCTTCCAGGCTGCAGCTGAAGATTTTTGTGGCATCTCCCAGTGTGCCATTCACTGTTGCTTTAGGGAGGTGGCTGAGGCACTTCAATCAATTACAGCTCAGTACATTGCATTCTTTCTCCCAGAAAGCAACAGGCAGAGCAAGCACACTGATCTCCAAAGATTGCAGACTTCTCTGTGGCACAGGGCATCATTCATTGTACACACACACACACACACACACACACACGACTGTATAGTTGCTCATATCACTGAGACACAACACAACTGAGAGTGAAAACCAAAAGAACTGCAGATGTGTAAATCAGGAACAAAAACAGAAGTTGCTGGAAAATCTCAGCAGGTCTGGCAGCATGGTGAAGAAAAAAAATCAGAGGTAATGTCTCAAAATGTTAACTCTGATTTTCTCCTCACAGATGCTGCCAGACCTGCTGAGCTTTTCCAGCAACTTCTGTTTCTGTTACAACTGAGAGTGAGTTCACTTCCTTAGCTGTTGTATGGTCATGCACAACAAATCAGGCAGGTCAGTTTCCAATATCTTGGCAGTAATTGTGTTGACCTCATTCTGCAGTGCCAGCTACATTTGAGTTACAATGAAAATCTAATGGCTACTGGACAACAAGAGCATTTTTTAATGACATAGCT